CTCCTGGGCCCTGGATGCTCCAGACTCCTTGTCAATCTGAGTATTGTTCACCAGGGAGATGAGACACGAAGACATCACCACTCCGAGCAGGCAGCCATGACATCACATTGTGGGTGTATCAAAAACCTTCCTCAGTAGAGAGGCTTGGGGAAGCAGTAAATTACCACCTCAATAATGATAATAATGCAAAAATGACTTGCTTGTCCGGCAGACATACAAAGGAGGACCGGAAGTGGAGACAGACATCGAGGTGGGTCTGGTAATCAAATAATACGTAAATGAACGTCTTGACTAAATCCTCTGTGTGCAAGGGAGCTGTTTCTTGGTTCACACACCAATAGACATTTGTTTATAGGAGGAGGGAAACACTTTAGCAAGCTCAGAAAGGCCAGAAACAAGCTAAGTGTATGTTTTCGTTAGGTGTGCAGTCTGACTCAGTGACTCATTTAGAGTAGAACTGACCCATGCGGCTTTCAAGGGGGCACATTGCCAAGTCTATTTTCTGATGAAGGATCCCTGGTGGGTTAGGCATTGGACGACTCATCCTAAGGTCAGCAGTTTGAACCCACCCGCCATTCTAGGGAGGAGCGAGGCTTTCCGCTCCCATACCAATGCATAGCCTCAAACTCTTGGGGGGCAGTTCTACTCCACTGGATAGCGTTGTGAGTTCAAACTCACTCAGTGGCAGTGGGTTTTGGTTTTTGTCATCCGAGTGGGTTCAAATTTCCTTTCAGCCAGCAGCCCAATGCTTAACCACTGGTGCCACCCAGGGCGAAACCTGTCTGCCAGTCTAGCTGGTTCCAGGCCACAGAAAGCTGACAATGCTGTGGCTACAGTAAGCACATTTTAAAAAATGAGCAATCTCTACCCAACAGAAATCTTGTTCAAGTCACTATTTTCTGCTTAAGCGAACAAAGACCTCCCCTTTCCTTAGGTTTCAGAAGTTGCTCAAGTTTCAGTCTCTGTAAAGCCGGAGGTCTAGAGATAAATTAGGTGGAGGAAGCATTTTGAACGTGAAGCAGGCTTTATTGTGACATGGGTGAAATGAGTTGTGTTGCTCTCGCACAGACACATGCACCAGTTCACACAGGGATACATCCTGTCACCCTCTCTCGTGGTTCAGCAGGGGACTTGCCTTGCCTTTCCTTTGTTCTGAGCTGCGACACTCAAACACGAAGTGCTGCGGGTGAGCTTTCTTTGAGCAAGTGGCTGTGATTGTGTTGCGTCCCATCAGAACTTGCTCCATTTAGTCTTTTACCAGTAACAGAACAGGGCTTTCCTGTGCCTTCGGTTTGGGTTGTCTTTTCCAAACATGTCTACCCTTTGGCATGTTTTCTGAACAAAGACCAATTTGTGATCTTGTGATGTCTCCCTCTAGAACACCCAAGAAGAGGGGAATTTACAGAACTTTCCAAGACCCGAGAAGTCTGCTCCTGAGATCTTGTCTGCAGTCCATGCTTCGTTTAAAAAAAAGAAAAAGCTGAAGGGCAGGTTGCTCATCCGAAGGAGCCAAAACGAATACTTAAGAGGGGCCTTCGAAATACGCATCAACCTAGTCCCACAAGTTTGAAAAGGGGAAACTGCAAACAGTGATGGTGTTCAGAAGACAACTAAGTTTGTGTGGTCACAGGTGGGATAACTTAGAGTCCTACCCGCAAGGGAGTTTGCGTTCACCCACCCGCCCCAGCTCTTCTGCACCTGCGTTCTTGACTTATTCCAGAAGATGTCACTATAATCACAGAACAAACATTCCACAGCATGGTATGTAACTTTTATTTTGCTAGCATAATTTAAAGTATTTACACACTGCGCACTCACTGTTTTACACAGAAACTTTTTCATATACCTATGCACCACATCTAAAGGTTTCTTTAGAAAGATTCGACACGCTATAGGGGAGAAGTTCCAAGCCTAAGGAAGAGAAAATGAAAAAATATTTTGAGTCTTTTCAAGATAGCTCTGTGGAGCATCTGTCAAAACGAGTGTTTCCCCCCCAAAGTTTTAAGCACCCCCACCCCACCCCACCCTACGTAACCTCTGAACAGCTAAAGCCTATCCATGGGTTAATGTGACCCTTGAACTCTTCTGGCTACGTAGGATTTGAAGACCCAACATGTGCCAGTAGTATTTTCTCTAACATCCTAGGCAATCAACCAGCAGTCAGGGAAACCACTTCTTTTTCTGAAAGTTATCTGTGGGGTCTGAAAATGTCGTCACAAGGGCACTGAGGACATAGGGAAAATGCTTCTAAGCACCCTTCCCAATGGAACAACATGGTGAAACAATCCCATTTCCTTTCCCCAATTATTAGAAGTGGTTTCGTTTCTCTCAAAAAGGATAAAGGTACATTAATTGTACACAATCTAAAAATCAGATACCAAAAGCGATTTCTATTGTTTTTAACTCATTTTTTAGGCTATTTGCACAAAAACAGTGGTTAGATGTATCCTCCTAGATAATTTTCTTCCATCATTTACTCATTCACAAAACAAGTTCTAGGGAGCGGTCTTTTCTGTATCTGGCCCACGCCTCCACAGGGGACACATGCAGCCACAGTGCAGAGTTGCCCAGAGGTGGGTCCCTAGCCCAGTCCACCTTCTACAAAAGGGCAGCAACACGTTTAAGCCCCGCCTCTCTGGAGTAGAGTTCTCCCCCTTTTTCGAGAGTAAGAAAGAAGCAGGATGCTGCCTTCTCATTCTCTCAGCCGCCCGGATTGCTCTCCCACACCAGCAGCAGCTAGTGAGGAGAGTGTGACCCTTCCACCTACAGCTCCACCCAAGATGGACTCACTAAGAACATGGTATTCCCAAAACAATAATTACACGAATAACAATGAGTCTAAGGAAGAAGAAAATCTTCTAAAATTGACTGTGGTGATGCTTACAGAACTCTTCTTGATATGATCAAACTATTGAATTGTATGTTATATGGAAGAAGTGCCAATAACACTGTTAAAAATATGATATATTTTTTCCCCTACCAGTTGGGGGTTGATATGTAGAAGTGCCAATAAAACTTTTAAAAAAATGGAATTTTCTCCTCCCAGTTTGGGGGCATTGGCAGTGCCAATCAGGGGCGGATTGCCCAATAAAGCACCCCCCCCAAAAAAAAACCCCCACCAAACTCATGGCCATTGAGTTGATTCTGATTCATAGCGACCCACACAAAGGCTTCCAAGACTGCACTCATTACAAGAGCAGAGACTCACAAGAGCAGAGACTCCTGCTATGTAAGGCAAGCAGGGTCCATTTACTAAACTGTACAGAACAAGTGCATATAGGTTTGAAAAGTAGTAACTGTTCACTACTTGATTACTGGGTACCCCAACTCTCTTATGGATTATAAATAGGGGGAAAGAGGCGTCGATTCTATAGGGGGTGCTGTGGGGTTGGAAACACCAGCCACAGCTACCTAGAGAGTCTCACGTGGTAACAGACAATGTGACATGATTCACTAGATTAGTTAAGCACAGGGATGCTTACCACCTTTCTTAGGCAATCAGACACTGGTGCCACAAATCAATAGGCCACGGCAAGAAGAAACTGCCTGGCAAATTAGCACTACATACAACCCTGGCAGTAATTGCTATGGCATTTAAAATGAACTTAATTTCTTCTTTTGGAAACTTGGGTTAGTAAGGTAGTTTATCACTTCTTTCTGGAGCCATTGCCATTGGCATATAACAACATAGCCTTGCCTTTCTTGAGTTAGCTTTCCCAATGACTGTTCCTGCCCTTTGTGGTGTTTTCCTTTTGCAAAGGGTGTCCACACCGCAATGGGCGTGGCAAGGCGAAATCATTTTACTTTACAGTGATTTCACCCAGTTCTGTGGGCAACTCAATATGCACCGACAGGTGTTCAGAGGGAGAACATCTCGTTAAGCAAGGAGATCACCTGGGAAGCCACATCGCTCAGTGGAGGAGAATGTTTGAGTAGCCAGCCAGCACTGAGTCAGGACCGGGAAACGTCTGTCATTATGGGCAATGCATCTTATTATGCATCTAGGTCAGCAGTTCTCAACCTGTGGGTCCTGATCCCTTTGGGGGCTGAATGACCCTTTTGCAGGAGTCGCCCAATTCATAACAGTAGCAAGATTACAGTTATGAAATAGCAATGAAATTAATTTTATGGTTTGGGGGGTCACTAGGTCACCACATGAGGAACTGTGTTAAAGGGTCCATGGCATTAGGAAGATTGAGAACCCCTGGTCTAGATACACAGTGTGGCGGAGAGCATGTGGTGGAGGACAGGGAAGAGTAAAGAACATTAGAGAGGCTTTAGGTAAGCCTAGTCCTTGGATTCCTAAAGAGTGGTTGGGGAGTTTCCTGGGTCTGGAAACTCGAGGCAGTGTGCTGACAACCCAAAGAGCCAAATAAAGAGGTTATGCATGGGTTTGTACAAATCAGAAAGAGAGCGCATCAGAATTATCCCTCAACACTATGTTTCCACTAGGATGGAGTTTCACGAGGGGGAATCTACAATTTAAGCAGGGGTGAGGAATGAGCAAAGGTCTGGGAGCCCCTGGGGTCTAGCATAATGCCAGGCATTTATATATGAAATTGCCATCACATGACCCTTTTGAGCTACAAAAATGGCACTTCCTTATGATCCAACCTCATCCATGGTAAGTGCTCACAGAAAACGATCTTGATCAACAGGAACTGTATACACTCCCCTCCACTCCCTGATTAAACAGAGTACGTGGGCTGCTTACAGATTAGTGAAGAGCAGAGTCAAAGCACCTGGGAGGGACAGGGGAGTGTTCCGTGCTCTCCTTCCAGAGACAGGGCAGAAGAAGAGGTAAGGAGCCCATCGTTTAAGGAACGAGGTGGCTTCACCAGAAGGCAGCAAGTGAGCGCTGCCCACGCTGGCAACATCAGTAGCAATGGGGGCGGGCAGAGGGGAACATCCAAGATCAGCCACGAATAACGTCTCTGGTCATCTTCAGTGGGAATGCTGTGGATGGTGTCTGTGTATATGCACTATACATACTAACCAGGTACACACATAAATATTTAATATATAAAAAATAAAGTGCTTTCTAACAGGTCCCTATGCAGGGACATTATAAAATATTTCACAAAACTGCAAAATAAAAATCGATACAATAAAAAACCACTACACATCCAACATAAGTGAAAACAGCCAAACACAGTATGTACAATCTGGTGGGTGTCCCAGGACAAACAGCCTATCATATACATGGTATATACATATATACTCTTATCTTTTACTCAATATATTATGACAATATATATCTTAAAATTTTGTTATAGACAACAACAACGACAACAACAAAAAAGCCAGATAGACAATCCCTACAAAAACACAACGAGGAACAAGCATGTGAGTCCGAGACTGACGGACAAGTCCCTGCCTCCCCGGGGCGCCCCGTTGCCGCTGCTTGGGAAGATGTGCCAGCGTTCCCTCCTCGGGTGCAGGGCCGCCACGTCCTCCAAGGCACTGTGGGCTGCGGCAGTGAAGTTGGCATCGCCCGTGGTGAGCAGGTCAAAGACACAGGACTGGAAATAGATGTCCTTCACCGGCATCTTCTCCTGGCATTGCGTGTTGGCAGTCTCCAGTGTGTAGCCCGGCCAGGTCTGTGCCAGGGCGGTGTGCGGTAGGGTGTGCCCCAGGATGGCAGACACCTGGTCTTGCCCGTCGTCGATACGTTCACTCAGGGGGCAGCCGTTGACACACAGCTGCAGGTCCTGGCTTTTGTCGTAGGACATGGCCAGGTCCTCGGGCATCCGGATGGCGAGGGTCAGGTAGCGACCCAGCTGTCGCACAAACACCGTAGTTCCTATGTAGCGAGCGTGCATCTCCACGTGGCGGCCGCTCTCCCTCTCCACGATGCGCAGGCTCTTGGTATCACCGTCTCCACCGCTGGTGGTGCCATCCACAAAGGCAGCCGGCAGGTCGTCTGTCACAGCTTGGTACACCTTCTGCTCTGTGCACTCATGGTGGGCTTTGAAGATGATGGTGATCTGCAGGAAGGAACAGGGGCACAAGTTGAATGCGAAGGGAGAAAAATAGAAGCGATATGGTTCTGTCATCAGAGTGCTCTTGCATTTCAGTTGAATGGCTTACGACAATCGCCAGACTTGATCATTTGCTTCCGCTTCCCTAATGAATATGGTATCCCCGCCCAAGTAGAATAGTTCCTGGGTTTCGGAAGACCAGTGGTGCAACAGTGAAACACAACACAACTAACTGAAACTTTGAGAGTTCAAACACATGTTGTGGCTTCAAGGGCGGTGAGGACACCCCAAATGTTGGCAATCACAGCCTAAAATGGAACCCACACGGCGGGGCAGTTCACATGGGACCACACTATAAGCTAGAATCGATTCGACACCAACAAATAAGAACATCTACAACTGGGCTCATGCACCCAGTTGGTAACCAGAGGGTTGCCAGTTTAAATCCACCCAGGGGTGCCTCCACAGTGAGGTCTAGCCATCTACTTTTGAAAAAGCAGCCACTGAAAGACTCTATGGAGTTCTACGCTGAGACACGGGTGTCTCCATGAGTCAGGATGAATGCTAAGGCAACTGTCCTGTCTATTTCCAAAAGTGGGAAGAGCTGTAGTCTAGTTCTCAAGTGGGGCTGGGAGAGGAGAGAGCCACCTTTTCTACATGATGCAGAAACTTGACAGAGCCTGAATAATCCTGTAACTTCCAGAACTTCGATTTCTAATTTCATCCCAGTCATGTGTCAGTCACGACAAATTTATGAAATGTAAACAGCGCAAAGAGGACCAGACGGTTGAAGATGTAGCATCCCAGAAACAGGCCCCAACCAAGTGCCTCCGGAAAGGTTTCTCTAAGTCCCTGAACCAAATGTTTCAAATCAGTGGCTAATCCGAGTGACAGGGAAATCACTTGGCAAATATAGCTCCCAAGCACCGGCAGGAAATAAAATACCCTAACCCTGGTAACAGAGAATATTTTCCTCCAACTGCACTGGGACCATTTACCTCCACAGAAATGTGTTCTCCATATTAACAAACAGACATTCCATCAAGAAAAAAAACATCTCCTAATCGTACAAAAGCCTCCCATGGCTACGTCCACTTTTGCCCCTGCAGAACCCTTTGAGGACAGCAGTTACCAGAGACAGAGCCGTCGCCTAGCCTTTCCCTCCAGCACCCCCGCGTGTCTGTCGCACCCTGGTGGTGGAGGCAGGTAAGCACAAAGCGATTTATGTATCACACTTGGTGGGAAAACTGCCCTAAGGAAAAAGGACTACATTTTAAGGTCTGTGTTACTGTCAGTAACTGAGGTAACAGCTTCTTTATTTCTTCCCGCTTGAAGGAAAAAATAAATAGAAATGATCAGGAGGTGGAGTCGAGGAGGAAGGTAGGCAGGCCAAACACTGCTCACCACTGCCCTGGAAGGAGGAAGCCTTCCACCTCCTGCAGGGAACGAATCCCAACAATAGACCCTTGTTATAAAGGCCAGAGAGGGCCCTCCCCCCACCCGGCCCTCCCTACCAGCCCTCACCACCACCCTCACGTTCATGTCTGACTTTTTTTTGCCCAACTCGGCCAGCATTTGCTCACAGTATTTAATTCCACATGTTCCCACTGGTGTTACTTGACTGGAATTTTCCAGCCATTTCATTTTATTTCAGCCAGTTATAAAGCCAGATCGGAACCAGCTGCACTGTAGCAACTGGTTAAACTCATATCCGTTGTTTGCAGCTGCAACCAAGGCCAGACAATGTTCTATGAAAATGCTGGGGTTTCTCCCTCCTTAATTACCCTGAGCCACAGTTTAATTTCACTACCAGCCTTCTCGCATTTCAACACCTTCCGAACAACCCGAAGGAGGTGCAGCTGAGGTGATTTCAGGAAGTGTGTTGTGCATCCAACTAAAGGCCTTCCAGAGTGAATGGGGTTGGGAGCTGGGCATCTAATGGGACTATAAAATAGATTTATTTGGTGGCTCTAAAGTCAGTTTAAAGGAGTCCTGGTGGCAGGCGCAGTGGTTGAGCACCTGGTTTGAACCCACCAGCAGGTCCGAAGGGGAGAGATGTAGCAGTCTGCTTCCATAGTAAAAACTCCAGTCTTGGAAGGCTTTTGGGCCCGTGCTACTCTGCCCTACAAGGCTGCTATGGGTCAGAATGGATTTGATGGCAGCGGGTTTGGGTAGGGCTTTTTGGTTCAGGTCAGTCTGAAAAGGGCTATTTAAGACCAGTTGGGATTTCGTGGTGGTGGTGGTGAAAAGACTGCCCCACCCTTGGAAATTCTGCACCCGAAAATGTGGGAACTTAACAATACAGATGGCTAAAAGAAGAGATAGCAATAAACTTTTCACATAATCACTATCCTCATTATCGACTCTAACACTCACACTCAAAAGAGTATACATAATCTTCTCCAGCGGCTACGTCATTTGTCCTTTGAGACTAACAAACCTCACATTTAAACCAACTTGGTCTTATTTGTGAGAGCTAAACACATAGTTGTTCACATTAAGCAAAACAATGAGAAATTAGTTTGGAAAAGGACAACCACGCTGAGATATCCAATTCAAAACAAATGTCCAAGGAGGCAAGCACGAGTCAATAAGACAAGTGGAAGACATAAAGTGCATGTCTTTTAAAAGCCAAAGGGAAAAATACCCCTCCACACCTAAATAGGTTTTAGTTAAAAAAAAAAAAAAAAAAAGAGGAAAAGTCACACGAAAATGGACTTTAGTGACAAACAAGTTCATTTCAAATAAACAAATAAAAACCAATAGGAAGGTAAGTCGAATAGTTCCAAGTGTCTTCCCCAAGCATCTGTTTTGTTCATTGAGCACACCAATTCCAACTCAGGAACTCAAGAGTCATTTTGAACACCTCACACTAACCGTCCTCGGCGCCACCTCTGACATTCAGCAGTAACTCCCACACATCCGCAGTAGTCAAGCTAAGCCAAAAAGCTTGATTCCTGCCCTCAAGTCTACACCCACAAAAGATTACACTTTCCCTAACAGATTTTTGCCTGTCTTCCCAATTTCCTAGGGGCAGTTTTTCTCTGCGAGGCAGAAATCAGTATATGTCCCCGCCGTTTCCCTGCTGGACAAGCTTATCTTCTACAGAGGATATGAACAGCGTTATCCTTTGAATCCCACTGAGGAGGGAGAAGAACTGAGGTGGGGTTCCTGCTTGGTCCTCTGTAGTTTAAGTCTGGACTGAACAAGCACCGAGATATCATCAACGGAGATTCAGAAAACACTGCATGACAGTTTCACATGACTACAATTCTGCAAGGCAACAGGCACAATGTGAGTGGTTTTTTGTTTTTTTAAAAAAAGGCATGCCCAGTCACTAAAGGCCAGAAATTTACTTTCCCTCCTGGGTTTATCCATTCCTACTCAGTTAAAAAAGAAAAAAATAATGTGTGAACATTCAAAATTTAATTGGAGTTTTTGAAAATTCCAAACTGTTGTGATTTCCAACTAGCAGCTCTCGGAGAGCAGTATATCCAGAATTGGATTCAAAAGCTCTCAAACAGCATACTTTAAACACCAGCTCAGCTGCTTATTCCCACCCCCCTACACCACCACCCCTTAAACTGATCCATATGCTGTAATAACTCAATTTGGCACATTTGTTCTATGCCACACCATTTATTATTGATGGATGGCATTTCTGTGCATTTAAAACATCAATGCCTTTTGTTAAACCTCCTCCAGCCAGCCCCTCTCTGCCTGCCCCCACCTTAGACAACTGCTCTAGTTCCCTCATTCATTTTTCATGTTTCACTCCCTGCGATCTTTACCACCCATCAGGTCTATTAGGGAGAGAGAGATAGCAGCTACAAATCAACCTTTGGACAACAAGGACTTAAGGTCTGGAGCAAAACCAAGAGGCATCTACCCCGCT